TTGATGAAGACCGCATTCCATGGGAGTCGTAGTTACACTAATAAGAGAGCGATTCAAACCACAATCCAGATTACGGAATGAATCCATCGATATAAAGTTAGTCTAGGCAAGATCGATTGAGAATCGAAATCGGGCTTGCCGCCGAGGAGCTTGTGGGAGCACAGACGATTCCAGCGTCGAAGGAATCACACGTCTGACTGAAAGAGACTGAAAAACATCCTAGAAATTCAGTGCTCGCAAGGTCGATTTGCCGTAGAAGAAGTCAAGCGGCTGATTCAGGAGGAATTTTCACGTTCTCGTGGTCGATTCTGCGTCCCCTCGCTATCACCGCCCCCGATGACAGTCTGATATCACGATCCCCGAAATTCGTCGCCGGTATCATTAATCCCTCTTCCGTTGTCGTAGTTAGTGTTTCGATCCTGGATTCATCTTCTACACAGATCACACCCTCCTGATCACTCGACGCTCTTGCTCGAATGAAACTCACCGAGCTCGATTCCAATGTGACGTCTGACGTCACCTCTAGATCGACTTTCTCTCGCCTCGTTTTATCCAAAATTGTTCTCGCTCGTCCATCTCCCGATCCGAGTTCCCTTTCCGCGAATATTTTGAAATTTTCCCTCTCTTACAAGCAAGAACAGTTATTTATGATCACCGCGATAGCCCTCTCGTACATGGACGTTCATCCCAGTAAAATCTCCGGTCCTCGCCAGGTTCCGATGAGAACTACCGTTATGACGACCTGCTCGAAAACTCTACCCTCCATTTCCAGTCGTATCGTGGTTCGCCCTGACGGCCTGTATCCCTCACCCATGAATCCCGACACGAACGTCAACTCTGATCTTGCCCAGTCTAATTCTACGGCCTGCGCTGCCTTTCCCGAGATAACGTTCAACTCTGCTTCATTACACAGCCCGACAGCCAAAAAGCTACAAGAAAAGTTATACCTAGGTTGGGGTGAAGCGGGCGCGTCGAAACCGAATCTGTACACAGCTTTCCTGTATCAGGTCTAGTTTTTCTGTAATTCCACTTCTCGATATTTTCGCAATTTTTCGTCTATGAAGTTCTCCATCTTTGCTCCTGGGTGGTGTGGATCGATGAAACTTCGGGAACGGGTAGACCTAGGTTAGAACTCGATCTGGAGTTTTGGTGCGATTCGGAGCAATGGTGTCCGAGCTAGAGGCACCGGAAACTCAAAAAACAGTATATGGGAGAGGGGCCTCTTAATAAGCTCTTGACAAAAAACTAGGACCTTCGCAGCCGTCTACCCTCGACGTTTCCATATGGGATGCTTTTACGAACATTTTTTGACTAAGCAGAGGAGGTGTCTCGACCGTGGGCAGCTCCGGGAAATCCGCGAACCAATCAATTCTTGAGACGCTGCTGAACACGCCATATATTTAGCTTAGGTAAAACACAGTGCCGTCGTGGGTTCTTTCTTGCTTGCCCAAGAGATGCAGCCTCCAGCCATCAGAAACGCATAGCCCGTTGAAGATTTTCGGCAGTCGGCATCAGAGAACGCAGCGAGATTCTCCGTATTTTTGCCATCGGATCTCCGTCGGAGTTCCCTCCGAGTACCGTAAGATACAAATCACCGCAACCCAGTGCGTCGCCGACGGCTCTGAACAGGTTTGTCAGACCATACCAACGACGTGGCATACCTATATCGGGACGTGTCGTCCGGGAGATGTGAATTAGACACCCAGCCGCCTCGCGGTGCGTCGCATCCGTCACTTGCTCGTCTCCCGACCTCGTCGTCGATTCCACACCCGTTACCCGGAACTTCTGGTCTGGCCACCGGTCTCGGATCTTCCATGCGGAACCTCTTCAAGAGCCTCCAGATATTCTCCGCTTGATTCAATAGAATAACCCGCCCTTCAACCTTTTGAGTTGTGCTTATACCAATAAAATATTCGGCTCTTCCTACGTCCTCGGGCGGATGAATCTTCCCAAGCCTTTTGACTGTCTCCATTTGCAAGCCCTCATCGTTGGCGAAGATGAAAAAATCATCGACGTATAGTCAAGCCGAGAGATTCAAACGCTCGGTTCGATGCCCCGGACCAAACTTTCCAGCTTGCTTGAGGCCATGAGGAATTCGGTACGAAGACAGCTAGACCAGTCTGAAAGATAGTCCGAGAAAACGATGTCTCCCTGTTACGGCCATGCGCATAACTTCCATCAGGGAAGCTTCGGGAGTCGAGTACTTCATGATTTAGACTCCATTTAGAATTCACTTCTTTCTGGTGGAAATCTTCCCCTATTTCCGAACATCATCACTCATTATTCATTTGAGCTCAGCATCAGGTAAATTAACTTAACCGTGACAATATCAGCAATACAGAAAACAGCGATCGGACTTAGGAATAGGAATGAGTTCACCCCAACAACGAGAATCGGCCCGAGAACTTCTCTGCTAGATCATCCACGGTTTCTGGTGGACAGCAAGTTCTTATGGCTATTGCGCTCCAGTCGGTCGGTCCCGACGATCTTCACTACGCAATAAGGCCCTGAAGTTTGGCTCAAAATTTCCGTCTCGAAACTTTGTTACGCGGGTCATTCGATTGGAGAGCTTTTTTCGCCAGCCATCGTCGCAGCACACGAGACGTTGGATCCCTGCCAAGGTCGGAATCTTCACTAAACTACTCATAACTATTCTGTCATGTTGGTTTGCACTGCGCATCCGCTTGCCTATGCAGGTCGGCGACGAGCGGAGCTACTAGTTAACTCGATTTCTCCGTGTGTGACCCATTATTCAAGTTCAGAGACAGCTTCCAAAAGTAGATCGCGGCGCGGCGTTGAGCTGAATTCCAGCTTCACGCTCCCGTCATCTCCGACCTCGGTAGGTCCGCAGAAACTTTGGACGAAGCGACGGTCGATACTTATTCGGGTACCGTGGCGTACCGAAGGGCCGATGCGAGTGATTTTCAAACCTCTCGAGAGACCTGATATCGGGTCCATCACTGAGGAATGGAATGCTGGTCAATGATTTCACCATGTGATCATGTACAGAAATACATATATAGTGGTCGAGGAAAGAATATCGAAAAGTAGGCTCTCCATAATTTCCGCCTTCGCCGGGTTTGACGACTGCGCACAGTGATTTCATAGTTTCGTTCGATAGCTCGATCCGAAATGATTTCCTTTTTGTTGAACGGACCCTCTCAAATCAGAGGCTCCCTCTCTTACCAGCAACGCTTGGCTCTGCGGAGAGCTTGCGAGACGCCGCGCCGTGGAGATCTCGGGGCGACGGAGTAGAACATTTCGATTCCACGAGGAAGCGTCACTCGGATCGCCAACAATCAATCGATTGCCTTCCGAAGGGGCCGGGGGCATCAGATCCGAGTCGGCAGCGAATCGTCTCTCATGCCCAGGCCCAACATGGTCCTCGATACTTTCCCTTCTTCCGGATTTGCAGCCTGCAACCGGAGAATTCGACTGGATGTTATCTCCGAATCGGAGTTCAATCGCCCGTGTGTGCATGGGCGTAGGCTGGAGCTGGTGCTCGCCATCGACCTTTATGTCTCTCAATGAAAGCAAATCGGCCGAAATTTCTGTATACAGTCATCGGATCGGAGTCCTTTGTCATTCTGGATCATCACTATTTTCTGATTGTTCCGCTCGTATTGGTTATTCGGACAGTCACTGTTTAAATGAATTGGCTCATCGAACATAGCAGTATCCGCGACAGACAGGCAAACGCAGTAGGCGGTAGTCGTCATATCTGCGCTCAAGCGAGCGACCGACGCACAGACTGACGGTCGGTCGGGCGGAGCGACAGACAGACGGACAGTTTGCGGGACCGACATACAGACAGATGGACGAGGCGAGCGGACTTTCACTCGAGCCGATTCAGACCACTTCCGCGAAGAGTTGGCAGGAGTTCACCATGCGCACTTGTGATTCACTCTCTCTTCGCAACGAGCAGCGACTACGAAGCAACGGATAGGCAACGAAGGTCGCTTCCGTGGGAGATGACATTCGCTTCCCTGTCCTCATTGGGTCACCAGTCGCGGTCCGTTATTGTGCTGCTATGAGATGAAGTCACTCCGTATGAGATCATCGGATGCCGTCTCCCCTCCTTCGATCACCATCGTCGTTGCCAGCATTTGTCGTTTCCCCGGTCAAATGCCTCTTCCTCCAGGTGCAATCAGCTAGTGCGTTAGTAACCAGCTCGTGTTGCCCGCTCAGAAACAAAGCGAGCGGTAGCGTCGGCGGGTAAGACCAACGCCCGCGGCGGTGAGAAGCACAGTACGAAACTTTCACTCCGATGAGTGAGTCAGAGCTCTCTTATCTACCGGACTGTGGAGTCGAGCTGCCGACGTGTCTGAACCTGCCATCGAGAGGTCATCGATCCCTGGTCTTCGCTAGCGAAGGAAGAAGAAAATTTCGCGCGATAGGACCTTCTTCCAGCCTGGGAACTTCTGAACATCCGTTGGTGAGCAGTGCGAGCCGCTTCGGTCGGATCGGGTACGTCCCGGGCCTTTGTTTCCAGGCGCGGAGGAACCCGGGGAAACTCGAGATGCTTCAAGCTGAAGACCTGACGTCCTCTTTTTCACGGCGCCGATTCAAATTTTCGCGCTCACGGCGGCGTCTGCAATGTTCCATGAGCCAGGCGGCGTACAGAGCCGTTCGATGGTCGTCGTCGACGTTCGGTTGCTGCTTTTGTTTCTCGCCTTCCTGCAATGATTCCAAGATGTCGTCCTCTTGGAGGCTCCTTGAGGCCAACCCCGACCTTCTAGAGAAGTTTAGTCGCAATTTGAATAGCATCGAAGATCTCACTCAAGCCCTCGAGCAGAACGGACTCCTATCGAGCGATAATGTAGATCATGCCGAAGTCAGCTGTGAAACAGACTCCATCCGAGAGTTAGTCAAGAGAATTGTCGTCAAAGACGAAGACTCTTTCTGTCGCTTCAAACGAACCCTCATCGAAAATGGCGAGTACAACGCTGTCGAGGTCCTGCCGAACGAATCTCACCGGGAGCACCACAACCACCAGCCGCACGAACAACAACAAGAGGATCATACGGTGCAACCCCTCTCGCAAAGTAAGGCTCTGCGGGAGCCACTGCCACGAACTGACAAAAGTGACAGGTTGTCATCGGTACGGCTGGACTCACCTGCACATCCCCCGAATTTCGACCTGTCGAAAGGCGAAGGCCTCGCTCTGGAAGAAGTCGATGCTAATCCGGCAATGGGGACGGCATCGACTTCATCCTCTTCGACATCAGTGACTTTACCATCGATGGTTACAGTGACTAAAGCCAAACAGATCGCCGTCGGAAAAGAAGTCTACGAAATGACAGATAGCCCCCGTGGTTTGTGCGTGATCTTCAACAACCGTCACTTCCCGTGTGTTCCGGACAGGGATAGACCAGGGTCCGAACTCGACGTCCAGCGGATGATGATGCTCTTCAAAGAGTTCAAGTTCATGGTCTTCACCCACGAGGATCAGACATCTCAGCAGATAATGTCGTTGCTCGACACCTACGCCAATGAAAAAGTCCTCGAGGGTCACCAAGCTTTCGTTCTGATCATGATGTCCCACGGCGAAGTCAATCACATATACGGCAACGACTACAACCTGGTCAAGCTGCAGGATATCTTCGAGAAGTTCAACAACTACAATTGTCCTGCTCTGCGAGAGCGACCGAAATTGTTCTTCATTCAGTCTTGTCGGGGGGGCCTGTCCGATAACGGGGTTCCTGGCCGGGACCTGATCGCAGAAGCTGTCCCCGGTGAGGACGGTACTCAGAGTGATGCCGGTCCGTTCAAATCGCAAGGCTATCCGGGCGTGAGCAGAACGCCCAGCCCGCGGATCTCGTACTGGTCCGACACGTACATCGCTTACGCGGTCGTCGAGGGCTACGAATCTCTGAGGGATTTGAATTCCGGAAGCTGGTTCTTGAAAGCCGTGTTTGACGTTATGGCTAATGACGCACATACTGAGCATCTTGACACGCTCATGGACCGCGTCTCGCAGAGGGTTCTGGAAAGAGTCCGTCGTGATGGACAACGTCAGTGTCCCGAGGTGAAGAAGATTGGTTGGAGAAAAAAGCTCTTCTTCAACCCGGGACTGTCGCAGTAGAGTCCCGCAGCTCTCCCGTTAGGATCTTCACGCAATGTTCTTACGACGCAGCTCGGTGCGAGCAGCCGTCCCACCACAGCTCAAAAATGGAAGCTCGAGAGGCACTGTCACCTGTCGATAGCGGAGTTGAGATCCTCTGTAGGGAATCATTCGCTTGCAATAGCCGTGGACAATCTCATTGTGCTCTGTCAGCGGTAATGCACGACCGAGAGCAGTGTGAGCGATTTATTTCACAACTAAATGACAACTATCACTTAATTGACCTACGAAAATTATGAACGCCGGGCTCGAAAAAGCCATCGTGACGTGGGATCAGACCTGTTGTACACATTCCCGAAACCTCGAAGCGGTGCGTCGCCGACAAATGTTCGATGCGGCCACACAGGAGAGTATTTCCGCTCGTGCACAGTTTTTCCACTTTGTGCCTCAATTTCGCGTACCACGAATCCGCGCAGTGCGTCGGAGAGGTGTGTACGCATACCCTGCCATTGTTACCTGTACATAAGTCCTTCGGGACCCCTAGATGACGGAGCGTTGGATGAAATTCGCTGTAACTTATTCTCCTACCAAAAAGACTTCGGTCCTGAGAGCGTTCGACGATAACTTGATGAATTTGTTATTTTTCCGAAGTCGTATTTTCTAAATAAAGTTGTTTTCGTAGACAAATCGAGTGTGCTGGTGCTGATGAGCCGACCTATAAGGTTAAATGATGACCGAAGTGATTAGCGGCGCTTGCGCATCACAATCGCAATCGGGACGGGGTCGAACGTCGAATAAAGGTTCGGAAGGGGCGACCTCACGTCACGCGGAGGGCTTACGTTGAAATGTTCTCATCAGGATCATATGAGCCGCTGAGTTGGCCACTAGAGTGAAAGGTTACGTCACCCCTCCGAGCCGAGGGCTGTCAGCCAGAAGATGGTGTTTTAGGTTGGGCTCGCGCCTCAAATCCCTCCCGAGCAGTAAATGAAGATTATGGAAAATTCGTGAGTGGGACCGTGCTCCTCGGAGAGAAGCGCGCTCGAGGAGTCAGGCGCTTCCGGTGACGTTTCTTGGGGCAAAACTTGAATCTCCCGTGCGGTTCAAGATCAGGTTACAGGATCGGGGAATCGCATTGGCCCAAAACTTGAGAGAGCCGGCCGTCGGCGCTATCCTGCGGTAAATTAGCGGAATAGGAGCCTCCCGTTCAGGCATCCAACCACGGTAGGAAAAACCCTCGCCCAAGAGGCTTTTGCCGATGAGAGATGTCCCGCAACCCGCAAGCTCCATACTCAAAGGCCGCCCGCCAAAAGATGAGTCACTCAATGACAGCACCGCGGCGCTTCCGATTTCTCTCGCGGCTCCGCATTTCCCTGTGAGACCACATCGACTTCTCCAGAGACGCCCATGAAAATCGGACGAACTTCTACTTGCGGCGTCCCTCTCCGCCCGGAACAATGCCATCAACAGAAACCAATCATGGGATGACGCATTTTGAGCCGGATAGGGGTGCTACTGATGTAGGAGCGCGGGATGAGTGGTTCTGCTCCCTCTCAAGCCCTATTCGCTTGGCAGGCGGAGCTCGGGACTCCGGAAGTGTGTCTCGCAGTGAATAGGACACCTCTTCATCAGTCCGTCTTATCGGCTTGCCGGCAAGGTTCCTGCTGGTCCTCAATGCAGCGGACCCCCTATCCCTAGACCCGAATCGAAGTCGTTCGGGTGGGGATCCTGGCCCAGCGACTCGCGACAGCATAAGGGAAAGGATCGAAACGTGGAGAATCCAGGAAGAACCCAGTTCTCGCTGAGGCCAGCTCCCGGAGCGAGAGAGGTACGTCATCGGATGGATTTACGCCTGCAAACGTCATTGGGAGGACGAAGTATCGCATGTAACAGGAGAGAGGAATGCCTGATCAGAGACTCGTCTTCACCCACACAGGATACTCACACAGGCTACACCCTTACAGAACGACTCATGTGGCGCTACCCGACGATTATGGAAGACTTCTTACGGAGGCACTATTCCGAAAACTGGGAGACAGGGAACACGAGGGCTTTCTGCCCGCTATCGCTCAATTCAGAGCGGAGATTCTGCTCCGAGAAAGAAAGCGCCATTTCCTAGCCGCTGCATGCGCATTTCAGGGAGGCGAGGACAAAGGCCCCAGGATTCATCTCACTCAGTCATTGATATCCGCCCGCCACCCTTTACGACTCGCGATATACGCAGCGTCTGGTGATCTGGTCGATGCTTCCGCTCGAGAACGACGATGGGAATCCATAATTTCATACTGCCTGTGTTGACTTGGGTAGTCTACTTTGATGATGTCATTTTACGGCTACGAGGTGGGGGATCGGCGGGGAAGAAGTCGTCGAGATTATTACTGCATCTATCGGTAGTGTTCGCACTTCTGCATTGTTTTCAAGCGCCGCAGAATCGCAGTGCGGACGAAAAATCCATTCTCCGAGGAGGCAGCGTTGCTTTCAAGAAGGGAGGGCAGGTATATGTGAATGTGCATCTACGTGGCGCAGTTCGTCAGATACCAATGGGCCGCCTCCGAATGATGATGCGGACGAGATTACCGATCGCTTGCAAGATAGGATCTTCCCCCCCAAGCGACTATCACATCGAGCGCGTGGCCGATATTTTTTCCGAAAAACAGGCGAAGCGAGACAGCATGAAGGTGATTGATGAAAATGGTGACCTGGTGAAATTATCCGAAGTTCTTCCAAAATGGATTAGGAACGAAGCTTTGTTAGAGAGCCTTGAGAAGACGCCAGCAGGAGATCTCCGATGGACGGCCATGCCCCCAGATGCAGTCATTCTGCGCCGCCAGAGTCCGCTCTTGCCACCATTGATAATGGATACGGATGGTGCTATGCGATTGGTCGATTTCCAGAAGAAGCTCAGAGATCGATTCCTGATGATCACTGATCAAGGCGAGGAGTCGAAGACTTTTGATGAACTGAAAGAGATCGATGCATCTTTCGACATGTATGTGAGGTCTGGACCTGAACGAGAGTTCAAGCTTTTGACTGCCGACGAATTAGGACACTACTACTACGAGTATCCTAGAATCGCCATGGACGGCACTCTGCGTTTGGTTACGCCGGAACTTCTAGCAGTCCTGGGAGAGACGCTGGAGCATCCGTCGAAACAGAGTGCCGGGCGAGAACGGACTGCGAAGCCAATGCTGCCGGAAACATATCTGCTGGAGGTGACATACGCGCATATTGGAGGAAGCTGTGTGAATGGTCTCACCTCATGGGGGGAGCCGTGTAGACCCAATTTAGAGCTCATACCGGAGGAGTGTGTAGAGAGTATACGCCATAGACGAAGGATGTAATTTTTGTGGAGCCAATGGTATCGGAACGTCTTTCACACGACACGGGATCTATCGATTTTTTCAGATGGACTCTGCTGAAAATGGAAGTTATCAGACCGCTTTCGAGCCTCAGGGAATCGAAGACATATAAAAGCGTCAGATGGGCTGATATGGGTGAATTCCTGTATTCTTTCTCTGCGCCGTATGTGAAAGGAGGATTATTGTAGGTCGGGATAGATTCAAACTCGATGAAACTCCCAGGTAATCCCAGATACAGCCGCCAGCGAGCCGCTCTCTCGGAGTATCGGTTCGATTTCTGCGATGAAGATAGCTGCAGTCTCAGCTCCAACTACAGAACACAGGAGTACTCCCTACATGATCGGGGGTGAGCCCTCGTTGGCTCATTTTTTCCGGGGGCATTCCGGGATGATGCGAAACTCGCGCCGATCTGTCATTGACTTGTCCTCCGTCAGCCGTCTTTTCACGCAGACGAGGCAGGTGATCCTCGGAGACGGCTGGTCTCCGGAACATGGTTCTCAACGTGTATGTTCCCTCCAGGATCGCCTCAGATTCGGGAGAATACCTCGACCTACTCGCCAGACTCGCGCGGAGCGCCGACTTTTCGAGTGCGTTCAAAAACTGGCCTCATGAGAGTCACTCGGCACTACGGTTGCATACATCTATTGCGCGTTCGATTGCGAGCTAAAAGACCCGCGGCCTCACTTCGATTTCGATATTCCCAGGAAACTTGCGGGAGAGAGGAGTTATCGCTCGACATTCCGTGCTTGTCAGCGGTGAGGAGTTGATCGCCAGAATAAGAGATTTCCATGCTGGGCTTCCGCGACTCTTGTGTCGAGACTTCCACTATCAAGGCCCTCCATCACGGATGAAGATCCTGGAGAGAGTAGAGCTGTGCTATGATTCACGATCTCTCGAAGCAGCTGACTGTGTCGAAGACCCCAGGTAAAAAGTCGGTTCCTCCAACTGATGGCGTATCGCACACTCTTCCGCGACAGAGCACGCTTTCTTGTTCCAGACATCTGAGGGTGAAGGAGGCAAGGATATGCCAGGAGAGATTTTATCTCGTTCCAGCGGGACGTTTGCCGGAAAATCACACTTACGCTGAATAGAATGTAATAAAAGCTTGAAAGCCTGGTAAACCGAGGTTCCGGTGATGATTTTGCAGACTTGTAGACTGTCGTGAATAATTTTCGATGCTCCTCAAGTGCTTTCGGTCATGCTCTATAACTACCTTGTCCTGCGAGGTCTCAAGAGATGAAAAACATCGAGCTATACTCGGTGAAGGGGACTTCTGTCTCACGGCCGAGGCACCGCACACGACCGGAGGTAGACACTTCTTCCTGTTTCTCAAAGCTCATCACCAGCGGGCCTAGGTTGGATTGCCGTCCCGTCGGCCACTCCTCCGGACGAAAGTTCCTTTGAAAGTAGAGATACGGAAAGAAGGTCGTTTGAGTCTTCCGGATGAATGAGTTATTCTTGCCTCGCTCAAATTTCAACGTTTTACTCTCAGGGTCCTAATGAGGACACCCGTCTGTCCGACAGGATGAGATCAAGTAAACTTCGCAGACAAGATTCCTGTTCGGCAGGGAAGACTCCTCCACGGCAAGAGTGGAGGAAAACTTCTTCATAGGATATATCTTTCGTATTTCCTCCGTTCTACTTCCGGCCTCCATTTGCGAGCAGATGATGAGTCTTCCTCCTCCAACGCTTTCCAGAAGGATGTGGACTGTGGACTCGACAGGCAGGACCCATCATTCTCCGGGGGGAACGATTGCGCACACCTAGCCATTCCATCAGAGAATGCTCCGGCTCTCCCCGAGACGGGCTTAAAACGATTTCGAGACTCAGCTGCTCTGCTCACTGCGACAACGAAGATGGGAGTTGAAAATTTGATAGCGCCTGCGTTATGTCTGGCAATTTACATTGAAAAGATCATCGTAGCCAAGCTGTGCGGCTCAGGACACGCAAGTGGGAGTTCAAGATTATTGTTGCATGCATCTGTGGTCTTCGCCCTTTTGTGTTTTTTCCAAGCGGCATCGAATGGGGCTAGCGATAGCCAGACGAGTCTCAGAGGGGGAGCTCAACCTCCTCCTAGGGGCGAGAAACTTGTCACCATATATGTTCGAGGAGAATATAAGAATGTGACACTGGAAGCGCTCAAGGCAGGAATGTATCGAAGGAGACCCATAAGATTCAAATGTGGATCTCCAGAGGTGAAGCGAGCGCAACTTGGGGATTTGGCGGCACTTTTCTTCCAAAAACAATTCGAGCGCAACACGATCGAGGTTATCAACGAAGATGGTTACCGTAAGCCCCTACCGGAGACCATTCTGAGATGGCAGCAAGATGAAATTCTCCTGAGGACGCTGGCCAAGACGCCAGAAGGAGAGTTGGACATAACGCCGATCCCCCCGGATATGGCCGTCATTAATAACGTGAACCCAGCTCTGCCGCCGGCCAGGATGAAGATCGACGAAGCCGAACGATTATGGCGCGTCCAACACAAAATCCTTAGGGGGGTATCGCTTTTCGACAGTGAGGGAGCAAGATTGGCCTCCTTCGCTGAGTTGAAAGAAATCTACGAATCTTTCGAAATTCGTATTTATCCAGGGGGAAGCTTTCAGAAGTTGACGTACGCTGTATTACAACGCTTGTATCACAGAAGTCCCCAGATTGGCTTGAACGGTACTATGTACTTGATCACGCCGCAAGTGATTTCGTATATCGAGCGGATATTATCCTAGAGGCAGTGACCGACCCCTCGCTTCTCGGCCGCCGGCTCCCTGCGCCATCGGGGAGTATTCTTGGAATAAAAATGCGATGCATGTAGAGGATTCTTTGCTAAAGAACTCTTTCGACTTTGCTAGATCTACAGATCTAGGGTACCTCGTCTCAAGCCGAAGGACCGCGCGGGGTGATGGAATGAATGTTGTAAGTTCGTGGTACTTCCGTTACAAAGCTTTGAATACATGGATCGATATAGGTCACTCAAAACGAGGGCTCCATCATTGAGCGAACATGATTTACGCAGACTAAAACTATAACTCAGAGCAAGTCCCCCCAAAAATGAACGAGTTCCTGGTTTCCTCGAAAGCAGTGTGGTGTGCGTGATGACCGACGTTTTCACGCTCCAAATCTTGCCGTTACCCCACTAGATCTCTCTCTGTCCCGCTCGAGGAACAGATCTTCAACCCCGATAGCCTCGATCCCAAGGGACCGTGGTTTCGCACCGTGATCCGGCACCCCTTCGGCATATCTGCATTCCTCAGATTGATTGTCTTCGAAACGCATGCGTCAACGGTGCAATTTCGGATTCTCGATGCACGATAGCCGAGAGGAATCTCGCCAGCTGGGGCGTTGTTTGCATCATCATGCCTGTAGATGAGCATGGGTACGGTGTTCGGTACATGGTATGGAACAACGAAATGATGAGAGGATCGGATCTGAATCTGACGATGCTGCGTTTAAAACAATATTTATTTGTGGACTCCCGCTCTTCGGGGTTGAGATCGGTGACGAATCGTCCTATCGTTGCGCGAGCCGATCGCGGTTGAGAGCTCGGAGCCTGACCACTCATTCATGATCAGAGCCGCATAACTGGATCGAAAGTTCCAACGCGCATAGCAGGCCGAAACTGATGAGGGCATCCGACACCGCTTTATTCTTGGATACGGAGGCTGTGGAAAAGAATGATCTCAATTCGATCCGAGACATGACTATGGAACGAGAAATCATGATAGTTCTCGTACGCCGGAATAATTTTGAAAATCGATCTCGCTCACCACCGGAGTAGAAAACGAATGGGCAGGCGATCAACGCCGCGCGAGCGTGTACGACTGGCCGCGCAGAGGGGCACAGAGCCCGCATGCAACGCAGAATCACTTTCAGAATGGTGAAGCAGCACATAGCCATGCCGAGGAGGAAAACGATATCGGCCACTTGGGAAAATTCGTCTCTGGAAGCTGCGAGGGCATCGCAGGGAGGTTGCGTCAAGTTCGGACACTCGGTTATCGAGGATTGATCTAATAAGAAAGGGTTGAAAATGACCTGCTACAGCAAAGAAACGTGTCCGACGCCTCGTGGAGCTCCTGCGGAATCAGGCACTCACAGATCAGACAGATGACACAACCGAGGAGGAAAAACACAGCGGAGAAAGAGGTTTCGGACAATGCCTTGGACGGCGGATCGCGGGAAACCGCGACATTCATCATATTCCAGCCTGAGCGCAATTCGATCGCCGCTGAGCTGCTTTTGATTCAGGAGGGTCTCGAGGAGGAGGAGCTGTCAGATTTTACATCCTGACTCCTGAGCCCTCCGAGAAACTTGGTGCCCGAAGGCTCTCTTCGTTGTTATGCAAGTCAGAGATACAGGTATTTTGAGCCTCAGGGGCGATTTCCAAGCACCAGAATTCGACTGGGAAAATTCGTTCTCGTACTTGTGTACATACATCATGTTTTCAAAACTCGCGATCACTCTTCGGAGAGCGCCAAGAGTCGCCCTCACAGAGATCAACGCAATGAGAGGAGATTCCCAAGCTTAGATCTTGAAATGGTCTTGGGAAGCGATTTTCTCAACGAACGATTCTCTTCCAGAGAATGTCGATCTGCTCCTTTTTGTGAATCAGGGACTCTCTTCGACTCAAAATCAGATTCGTGGGTAAATATTGGATCTCGTGTCGCCTCCATGTGAGTCAATATCTCCAACGATCAGTGCAGTGGTCCGAGAAGCATCGGATCCCCTTCTTACAAGAGACATCGAAGAGGACCGTGCAAGCACCAAACCCTAATGGTTATGTGTCGCGCGGCATCGCTCATCTTTGTCGCCCTTGCGTACTCCAGCGGGAGCACCCTCACCCCAGCGAATGTCGTTGACGTAAGCTGAATCATTATCGTAGAGTAGGTTCTTACGGAAATACTTCCCTATGTCCGAGAGAGATGCGCACCGGGAACCAAACCCCGTCTGCTCTACGGCAATCAGGGCATCTAAGGAACTGATGACCCATTAGTTTGCGTGAAGAGGCTTCGAGCATGATATGTGATATGTATAGAGTGGGAGAGAAGGAGTCGCGACAGTCTACTTTTTTGCCGCGGAGCAAACATCTTCCTTTGCTTCTAGTACGCTGCTATCACAGCTACGTTGCGATGCCGGGTCGGCGAATCACTGGGCAGCTGGTTGGATATCGCGCATCACCTAAACAAAACCATGGAAAAAATGGGCACTTCCTTTCCGGACGTGAAACCCTACTTTCGCGCAGTTCACGATCAAATGAAAGGATCGGCTGAGATCATAAGCTCGTAAGTGCACATTCTAAGGTCTGATTTCACGGCCCATAAACAAAAGTGTAGTTGCCGAGGAGACAAGTAGAACCTCGTAATCCGATGTTGCTCCCGATCCCACAACGAGAACGGACAGCCAAGAAATTCTGAATATCGCACTCCACAGGCTTCCGAATATGAGCGCAATGAGTAGAGAGGCGCATTATCAGATCGATCATAACTGTCAGTCCGCGCCGATCGGGATCCAGAACTTCGTTCAACTTCTGAAAGAAAAGTTCGCCCCGTTCGTTGATAAATACGGTCGCGACCTGAAAGTGTTGGATGATAGCGCAAATCTGATCATCTCAAAGCTTAAAGCTTGTTGATAATGATTATTGACGACGATCTCCCGCTGATAATAAAAACGGGAATTCTTTGTTTTTGCTGGAGATCAACAGAGGGAATCATCCGCGATTTCGGAGGACCGAAACGATAGTGACTCCCGTGATGTCCTCCATTCTCCCCGTGATTGGCTTTCGAATGCTGGAGCAGGTAGATGAGAAGAACCCACTCCCGGCCTTCATTCCCGAGCAGATAACCAAGATCAGGATGCTCTCGTAAGCGCCGGCCTTGCAGGTAGCCATGTTACCGAAGACGGATTGATTACAAGAAAGCGATTTCGTGATCCTGACGCCGAGCTGTCCCATCAGAGAATTTTTTGGCTTACCCCGAGACGAGGTCGGTGTGGGAACAAGTCCGAACTTAGGCTGCTCCCTCGTCTTTCTGAGAATGACGATGAAAGGCGAAAATCCGAGAGTGCCTCCCTAGGTTTGGTGATCAGTGATCACTGATCACTATTGTGCGAGGAGATTATCGTAGCCCAGCTCCGAAGAAACATGGGCAGGAGGTAGCATATACGGGCAGTGGGAACTTGATATCATTGTTGCGAACATCGAGGGCTTCGCTTTTCTGACCTACCACCGAATGGAATCAGAAGGTAGTAGTCATAGCCACGCAAGAAGCGAGTCTCACAAGAATCCAAAATCTGTATAAGCCGATGCGAAACCCGGTTCGTATACGGACGGGCTGACGGAACATACCACGGATGGTGTGTATGCTCGATATCGACATCTTCGTTTTCAATGAATATCACTCGATTCATCACGAAATATCATTCGATTCCGTTCACAATTTCCCCGATGAGGATGATTTCTTCATTTCTTTGAATTCAACATCTTTATCGGAGCGATCGCGTGCTCCAGCTTTTTACTCCGTCTCAATTGGACAGACTCCTCGAGATTGTCTGGCAAAGCCGCGTTCAAAGTTTCGGGCAGTAAAGGCAAGCTTAAGGTGCCAACAATACACGCAAGGCTTAGAACTAGGAACGGTGCCGACGGATGCCATTCACCCTGGAAATCGATAGGCAGAGTTCATTCGCCGAGCTGAGCGTTAGGAATTCCTCTGGCCCGCAGGCCGAGCTTCCGATCTAGAATAGGTCCGGAGAATATCACGGAAAAAGGTTCCATGTGATTCATACGGAACGCACCAAATCTCTCATGAAGGGAGCGATCGCCCCGCCGACACGTCCGAAGCAGAAACAGCAGCTGAAGCCGAAGTTCCGGAGCATGGTCGGGAATACCTGGAAATCTCTCGATATTGAGTACATGTCTCTCACAGAAATCACTTAAAATGCAGAGAAGTCAGCGAGCCCACCTCGAGACTGTAGGTCCAACACACTCCAGTAGACACCACCATAGTGAATCTGAGCACCATGGCTGTTGCAACGTGGAGCCATACAGCTGAATCTGCAAGGAAGATCGAGTTCATTGGTCTGCTCCGCTCGTACGCCGGCGTCGCCTGAACTTCTAGAATGTTATCAGGGGCGCTTGTCGAATTCTAACCTTGTGGTAGTGACGCCAAAATCAGGAATGACACGCTCGATAGACATAGGAATATGCCGACGGTGCGTCGTCGTCGCACCCACCGCAAAAGCACAATGGAGAGCGCACCGCCTGCGACGCCAGCCGCAGCTGTCAAAGCGAAATTGAGGGATTTGTTCCCAGGAAGCCGTGTCGACGTGAAGATCGATGCATAGAACGAAAATTGGCACATGAACCTGCAAGAATTCAGTAGCTCTCGATTGAGAATTCGAAGAGTTCCCCGATTCCATTCTCCCTCGAGCTCCTCCTTGCTCGGATTCCATATTTGAAAAACATGAACTTTACCACAACGAGAAAAGCGCCAGAGTAGACGAAAACAGCGCAGGTGAGAATAGTTTCAGAGCATTCGATTCGTCTCCAGACAAGCGCTTGGCAGTCCGTGGCATTTTCTCAAGAATCGACGAATCCATCCGGTTGAACTTGAGAATTTTTTCCAGCGTCCCCCGAGCTTTTTCGAAGTTACCCCGCATCAGGAGCCAACGAGGAGATTCTTGAAGGAAACTGCAACGATTCCTTCGTAATTTTTCGAGATGGTCTCTCAGAGCCGGGGATCAATGGCTGGATCCACTACTCACAAGAAGTACGGGAGCAAGGGCACAGCACTCAGCGCCATGGCCATTTGCACGTGCCTCCAGCTATGCAAGTATCCTGCCAAGGAAGGCAGGAACAGCATGGGCATTTGGAAACCCAGGGCGAACCCCACATTTAAGAGACTTCGGTGTTTCGGAAGGCTGACCTCGGCGTCTGCGGAGGATAGGCCGGGATTGGGATCTAAGATTGGCCAGCTCGAGCTCATGTATTCGAAATCTACTCCTGTCAAATGAGGGGGGCTTCAAGTCTCTTTGACTTCACTCACAGAGAGTCGAGATGCAAGTGTTGAGTCCGGCAATACAAACGCATTGAAGGAAGCGGTGCACGTTGAAAATTATCACAGACGGCGAGAATGCTGCTAGCACACCGAACACGACGAAGAGAACGGTTGACCCCATGTAGATCGGTAATCGTCCATATCTGGATGGAGAAAGTACGTCTGAGCGTCGGAGAATGCATCATTCGAGGCATGCCTCCGCGCTGATCTGCAGGGCTACGGGGATGGATCAAGTCAAGTCTGCAATACCTGTCCGAAAGACGGCCCGAGAACAACGCACCCGCTATCTGGGCAACGAAAACGTTGCTCTGGATGGCGGACTTCTGCCATGATGAGTCGCAAACTAGCTTGAACTGGGATCGGAGATGAAATTACCGAGGGTAAACGTATTTCTGGAACACCCTTCTCAACATGGAAATGACGGGGGAAGCGTCGCCACTAGAGTTGGTGAGCGACTTCTGTACTCACTTCTTCCACAGAGCTGGACAGCAAGGTTGAATTGAATGTCCAAGACTCGCACGCGACCTGACGGGTCCGATCGATCTCCGAATTGTTGATTGCAAAACTATGACAGCGTTCCCTTGGTGGAATGAAGTCCCGTTTCCAAACCTTGAATAATTCCACAAACGATCATTCGCTTTGGGCATTCCTTCGCGCAATCAATTCCAATCATGTTCAGTCACCGGGCGAATTTCCAACGACTATCAGAGGGTAGAAGGTTACAAAGCGGGCACAACTAGAAGAAGGAGATATGTAGATTCACCTCTGGTGAAAAGGATTCATCCGCTGGAGCACACCAGTGGTCGACGTCTCCAGCGACGTACTCTAGTCCCGTGAGGGTCCACGAGCTTGGGAAGCTCCTCAGGAACACCATTGACACGATCATCAATTGGTAGGGACCCAAACCTCCAGCTAGATGACCGATTTCGGTTACCTGAGCTGTCATCGCAAAATTTCACTTGTCACTCCCAATCATCTGACGCATAAGTACCGAGATTCCTCCGCGGCGATATCCGCTTCGGCTTCCGCGATCGGTCACTCAGGAAATTTTCGAGGGCGTGCTCCCGCAACTGGTTGCATCTAATGCAGCCTTGAGCAAACACACTATTCGAGAATCTTGTGGCTGCAAATGATGCCATTGCGTTGAAGTTTACGATACTCTTTTTATAGCCGCTGACAACCTGCTCAGTATGCGTTTACAAGAGCATGGTTTCAAAGTCTCAATGATACTTCTGGGGTCATCGATCCCGCATTACCTTTATTCGTAGACGGTTCCATCGGTTAGGGCATCAAGCATCGAGCAAACGTACACTCGTCGGACTGCACGCTCATGAAGTTCCGGTCGGCCAAACTGTTCAGAATGAGTCGGAGAACAACTGGAGTCCTTGATTCTGCGAGGTAGAGGAAAGCTTCGCAAATATTATTTTCATTCGGCTGTCGATGGGACGGTCTTGGCAAGTACCACCACTTTCAATCGCCAGAACGTCAAGTGGTACGTTCGCCTGCGTCATAATCGCCTCTCTTCCCTTCGAACTGCTGAATGGTTGGGGAGAAGGGTTACAATTCAGACACCAGGGGTAGGGAGTGGAGAGGCATCGCGGATTCGCGGTAGAGCAGATCGAATGTGTACATCTTCACGGCTTTCCAGCCCGTGAGGGTGCAAACATATGTAGCGCTTCGCACAGGCCCACCAGTTCTCGCTCTCGCTGACGGCGATCATTCATTTGAGTTGTAAAATACCCAGGAAGCAATCTCGATACGGACCCTTGCTGATTTTCGAAGTCCCCGGAACGTCGATGGGAACAAGCAAGAATTGTAGTTACCTAGTCATTCGGCAAACCAGTGACCTGCTCGAATACTGTCAATGATCTCGATCATTCTGCCGATTTCGGGCTCCCTTCTCGCCTCAAAGGAACGCGCTCTTGAGAGCCAGCCTCACCCTCCCAATCAACGATATTCTGTCGATGCTGTTGCTGCAATCTACCATATGATTCAGTGGAGGAAATGTTTTCATCGAGAGAGGCCAGACGGACAGGCTTCAGACAACTAGGGAAGCATTTATCCCCCGGAAGGAACTGCTTCAAGCGAGGGTGGGGAACGCGTTAGTCACACCTACCACTCCGCATGGAGCAGTCGCTACAACCGGCTGACTACTCACTCATTGAGCTGACGGTCCATCGCATTATCATCGAGGATTCTTGGACGCCGAATAAGCTGTCGCTGCTCCCAAATCGCTCACACTTGAGAGTCTCCTCAATGGTCGAGAGCTTCTCCCCGTTTTTTTCTCACACGTCCCTCGCCCCACGGATCCGTTGCACCTAGAGAGAAATCAGATCCTCGTTACTCCAATTTTCGCCATTCCCGTCAAGCTGTGTTCGATCCGGAATCATTAACTTGGCATCATCGGCAATGGGAGAAGTCCGACATTACAGAGCCCGAGTCCCTTACCGGCTGATTATGAGCGGTTCGGACATGCAAGCACCTCGCGCGATACTCTTAGCCGAGACAGGCTCCGGGACTCGTTTTAACAATTCGGTGAGCGTGTTAGATTCGGAATTCCCGATAATTGTTGAATCGGCAGACCCGGTCTGATCGAATATTTCTTTACAGCTCGTAACCCGTAGATTCCCCTCTCTCTGATCCGGACAGCCGGATTCTTGAATCGCGGGTGGAGCCAATGCTACATTGCTCTCATGGAGCCTTTGGAAGATTGCGAGCGTATCGAGTCTGGAAACTCACGGTGCCTGCAGCCTGGAAGGAGGCTGATACGCGGTAGGATTCTTTTGTTGCTGAAAACAAATCAAGAAGGCTATCCGGGGGAGGTGAATGCGCTTGAGACCCACCTCTGACCCTGTGACAAGAATGTCCATCCAATCTTCTGCCGCGAGGTCCTGGTCTGTCCCTCTCAAAGCCCTCGTCTCCGCGATTCAGATTCCATGCGCTGAAGAACGTCATGGAGGTGGATAGCGAAAATGTCTATTTAGACAGAAGGGATGCCCGGCATTATACACTGGGAAATATCATCATGAATCCCCCACAACGGACCCGGCTCTCGTAGAAGTATTCGGCTGCAAAGTCTGGACGGGATTTCCCACACTCGACCAGATTTGCTATAAGACTACATGGTCTCACCGGCTGGACTTTGTGATCAGCGATCAGGTAAACGAGATTTCAGCACCCTCGGCTCGATACCTTGCATAAATTCGTATTCGCATTTTCAGCAGTCCTCGGCTTCTTTCGATTCCGTCAAAGGACAGCCCCCTTCTGTTTACCTATCCAGAAATGATGATCAGAGCCCTAACATGCGAGGACCGACGCCGGCGTCGCGAATTCCAGAAATACCGGTCATACGAAACAGCTTTACACTTCTAATCTTCAGCTCATGAATAGATCCCGAGAGATTCGTGCCACGTTCCGCGAATTCGCGAGACATTCAGAGACAGGGAGGCGTTCGGGCGTAGCCAGAAGCTTTGTGGTTCATTACAGTAGTTCGCCGCTAATTCCGGTTGCTCGAAATCGGCTACTCGAAAAATCAGCGTTGCTTCAGAGAATGCTATGACGGTTTTACAACAGCTCGGCACTTCGGCAAGAGTTGAGAATCCATCGCGAGCCCGGGTTTGGACGGGCGCCGTCGAGGCCGAGTTATTGTTTATACCGCAAAGACTGTTTTCGATGACCGCCTGCTAGCGTCTCGAATTGAATCACAATCACTGGAAAAAAATTCTACACTCAACCGCAGATCTCTCTCGGAAGCCACAAAGGGCTCCGGCCCCATCTCGCGACGAGCCATTACTCCATGGTGAATATCCACCGGAAACAATGGACAGAGCAATACTTGAGTGATCCAAGATGAATTATGAAGAGGATTGCACGTGAAGTCAGGAATACTATGATGCCGATGACCGAGGGTTATTTCCTCCTACCCGGAGAGGGGGAGCATTTTTCATTATGCAACATAAGCCTAACCTACCCCCAATCGGTTCCAGCGGGTTTCCTCCGTCTCGACGAGGACTCGTGTCGACGGGAAGGCAACGAAAATAGAATATCGGGAGAAAAGCTTTCGGCTCTGCATAATTATTCTCGACTCGAGCAGGCTCCGCAAGAGCGCTGTACTATGAATGATTATCGCGTTGGATAGGTCAGGCTTGCAAATCAACTCCCTGTCGCGCGATTCGTGGAGGCTCGAGGGGTCGGGTTGCACTTAGTTGGAGTAAGCGGCCGAGCCAGCAAGCCAGATGGGAGTCTGAAGGGAGTCGCCAACGCTGCTTGTAATTGGATACCGAGTTTTGTGCCTGACCGGGGGTTAGGTGGCTCTTTTGCCCTCCTCGAATATTGTGACAGTCATCAGAAGCTAAAAGCACATTCAATTGGTTTCGTCTTCTCACGTTCGATTGCTGCTGTCGTCGTTCAAACTGTTGCTTTTTTCATTGTCGCCGTTTTGGAGCAAGTAGATTCTCTTTCACGAGCGACTACGTATACAACCCAAATGCATGCATGTGGGACTTGAACACAGATTTTTTTCTACTCCAAATCTGCAGGCAACCAGGTCGGGCGATCTGTTCGAATCTTGAGCTTCACCCTCACAATGCGTCAAGAAGTCTTGAGGGCTCTCCAAGTTAAGTAATGTTTACAAACGGTCAGCGTCTAATCCGTAGAAGAGGTGATGCCTATCGGCCTCGGAAGACATCTGCTCCGATGCAACTACGCCCACTTCGGACGACGACGACGGCGTGTGACCCGACGGCGAGGGAGCCTGTTATCCAAACGCTGACCGATCGAACATCAATGGGCCTGCCATCTTATTCTCGTAGGTGTTGTCGACTCGATGGAGATGTTCGGGAGCAGGAAGGAAAATCCACTGGATGCGTTTCGTAAGCATTTCGGATATCCATGGGTCGATATCGGAGTCGGTAGCCGACGGATTTCCGCACGAATGCTGGAGCAGACCTCGAGAGATGGGAAAAACTTCCTTCATCATGCCTTGGATGGGAGTCGCAGGGTGAGGCGGGGTTCCTTTTTCCCTTCAGCGCTTGTTGTGTTGTGTCGGTCAGCTTCGCTAATCCAGCAATGAATCATTGGTTGCTTGTAGCTTCGGGGACTACTACTACCACCACTACATCCAGCATCACTACTCGTATACTCTTCATTCGCAGGACTGATCTCATGAAGTTCATTATGCACTTGACACCGTCTGAGTCATCACTTACAGGAACTTTCTGCCTGTCTGCCTTCCCTCTGTCAAGCTCGCAGCGCTAGCTGGTGGTGAAGGGACAGTTGGCACACACCTCGCAAATTGCTCCTATTATTACCCTGATTATGATAATCCCTCCAATTACTATCGGATGCCCGACAAACGAAGAGCTGAAACTCTTTTTCCGAGGGGGCTTCCTGCGTGAAGCCTTCCGGTGACGCGAAAGGAGTCTGCCGCGAGTCCCTCAGACGGTGTAGTACCGGAACCGATGGATTTCGAGCCTTGCAATCGAACCGAGCACATTTTATATTTCGAGCATAACAGCTCATCGATATCATTCCACATATTCTCGGGGTATCGATTGCGCTCGATCCGAACGCTTGAATGCGTAGTTGCGAACGAAAGTCTTCCCCGAAGTCGAAAGTGAAAGAGAATAGCTGTGAATAAAAATCATTCTGCGAAAGTGACAGGCTTATCCGGAATCCCATGTGAGTGCTCTAAGCTTGCAGATGCAGTATGTGAGGACATGAGGGAGGTGGGGGAGTCGGAGCGTTCGAGGCACATTGGCACGCAGCGAGTCTCCTGGCGAAAGTGTTGAGGTCAGCTCCGCATCGCTGGACATAAGAAAGTTGGACCAGTTTTGGCTGACTGAACGGCTTTTTGCTCGCTGGCTGGCTGGCTTGCTGTCTTTCTCGGTCCGTCCGCTCTTCAACTGGTCGGCGTGTCATAGGCGCTCGCTCGCCATGCTGTTTGTGCATCAAAAGAATCCGTCAAGAATTCCGTTCGTCATACCGATCTATCTCGTCTGCGATCGAAATGAATCTCCGGACCTATTGTTTGATGAAATCATAATTGGCGGATTCAGTCTTCTTCCCCGAACCGCGGCCGCGGTCATTGGTGCGCGGTGGTCTCCGAAGCTCTGGTTTGCCGGTCGAGGTGCTAGATGCTCCAACGTTGCGCTCGAGTGGAGCGGAGACCGCAAACCTCGACGAATGCCCTTCCTTTCAGACGCTCTAATCTCGTCCTGCGAACAGAATGCCCTTCCTTCGGCTCTCTACGGCGACAGATGGTCGGCTCGTCATGAGCGAAAACAACACCACCACCACCACCACGGATGTAATCATACGCACGTCTTCGGAAAGAGACGTCAGCAGCCCACTGCGAATAGGCGACCTTAGACCTTGGGTTGGGCACGTGGTCGTCGCTACCGTTGGAACTCGAATGACAGCAGG